TTACTTATAAAATACTAAATATGCCATATGCGATTTTAACTCTTTAAATAAAAGTCAAATTAATTACGATTACATGAAACTTTTCTCTTTTACAGTTATGTTATCCTATTATAATTTGTTTCTTATCCGAAAAGTGCACAAATTGAGAAGTGCTTATTCGATCAATAAAAGCATCAGATTTTATATAGACTTGTGAAAATGTCAGACAGCATTTCATCCTTTCGAATATATTAAAAATCTAACCAATCGGAATTTTAATTTCCAGTAAAGTCTAATTTACTCATTACAAAATTTTATAAAAACTCTCTAATTCTCAATTCTTTTAAGTAACTATCAAATCTTAAATGAAATACAAGTTCCCTAACAGACTATTACAACCCGCAATCTTAAACTTTCTTTCTGATTACATAAAATTTCTCTATCAGATTATGAGAATTAATTTTTATGTCTACGTACTTGTTGATATACGACTTCGTCGACGATTTGATATTGGACTACGTTTACGAAGTATACTACTAACATCATTCATACGTGATAATCGAGATCTTACAATGTATAAATCTTATTAAATTAAATTAATAAAAATTCATTTATCTTACTGAATTTCATCACTTTTCAATAAACATTGATTTAATGCTTGATTATAATTAAATGTTGTATCATTCATTTGTTGATGATCACGAACTATTTCTAGTTCACATTTTAATGTTTGTGATACAATATTTGTTTCATTTATTGAACGTTGTATTGTATATATATATGAACGTATACGTTCAAGTTCTTGATTTAATGCACTATTACTTGTTTGATCGAATTCACCCTGAAAAGTGTTTTTTTTTTTTTTGTATTTATAGTTTTAATGGAAGAAAAAAAAAAGGAAGGACGCATAAAGATCATATTTGGATCATCTTCAGTTCCTTTCATTAATGATTTATCTGAAGTCAAATTTCATGAGAAATCGTTTGATAACAAAATAAAGTGATTTCTTGAAGCATTCAAACTCATCTTTACTTAAATTACTTTTCGACTTTTTTTAGAAATGGTCTCTGTTAAATAAGACGACTTGAGTTTTATTTAGATACCATTTTTCAGTAGTCTTTAGAGTATTTTAATTGAAAAAAAAGTAAGCATTGAGGAAAAACAAATAATATATTTGGAATCAGCATGAAAATACTGAGTCGACTTATATGTGTTTCGATAAGAAATCCACTGAAATGTGCCCCTCAGGGTTCAGTCAAAAAATTAATTTAATGAAAACATCACTTTTATATGTTATTTATTTGTTCTTTTGTCTTACAACGACGTTTTTCACGCTTATATATTTTTTTCACTAATCAAATCATTTATTAATTAAATTCATTGATTGATTGAACCCTGAGGGGAACCTCAGCTAAATTTTGTCGAGAAAAAAAAAAGTTTCTTAAAAAACATCGAAACACATATATATCAACTCAGTTTTTTATGCTGATTCTAAATATTCTATTCATTTCTACTCAAGAACTACTTTTTCCAATTAAAATCCTTTAAAGACTGGTGAAAAATGGTATCTAGACGAAATGCAAATCGTCTTATTGAAATAAAAATCGAAAAGTATGTAACTTTGTAGCTTTTCCTATAACGAACTTTCAGAATAAATGAGACATCGATATTGTTATTTTCCTTTCTCATGATATTAAGAAAACAGGAAAGAGAAATGGTAACATAACAATATGATTTTCATGCTAATTTGAAACAATATTTACGTCATTACTCTGCAATCTTTCAGCTGTTCTAGCTGACATTTTTACTAGAATAAGTTTATAGCATACATCACTAATTGACATAGTTTTCATTTAGAATTATCTTCGTATGAGAAAATTTATATAAGTCATCCGTTCGTATATAAATCATATATTTATTGTACAAATGTGAATATCAATAATTAGAGCAAAAACAGAATCGGAATCCTTCAGAAGTCCAGATAAGATCTTTATGCGCTCCTATCTTTTTTCTTACTGATGATAAATGTTCATTTTTATCAACTAATGCACGTAATCGTTCAATTTCCATTTGTAATTGTATTATTTGTCGACTATGTTTATCTTGATTAACTTTAACACGATTACGAATATTACGTGCACGTTGAGCATAATTAAGTGTACTTTTTGTCTCAGAAAAATCACGATCAACTGGTGATATACAAGCTATCATTAATGTTCGACTAAGAAAAACATAAAAAAGTTTTTCTTTTTTGAAAATAATCAACTATTAAAATTTACCTATTACCACCTAATGAATCTTGTAATAAACGAGTTAATTTTGAATCACGATATGGTACATGTGCTCCTTTTTTCATTGGATCACCTAAGATTGATATGACATTACCAAGAACCAGCTAAAAAAAAAAAGTAGATAATTAAAAGATGAAAAAATATAATCTTTGTCTTTAATATACCAAACCACTATTAATACTAATTCCTTCTTTAGCACGTTGACCTGTTGCACCTGTTCGTTTTAAACTTTCTGAACCAGCTAAATCAACGAAATGAATTTTAGCACGAATTTGTTCACGTATATTTGTATCTTGTGTCTGAATTTATAAGTAAAAATAAAATAAATATTTATTATTTATATTTATTTATATTACAGATACTGATGAAACAACACGTTCAAATTGTAAATTTACAGTAAATATGGCATGTGATCGACTTGATACACTGTTCATACGTGTTGATGCTGTTGTTCGACAAAGAGCACCTTCTCTTAAACAACTAAGTGTCTAGAAAATAGAAATATTAAATAAAATATTTATTCTTTGTTTAAAGATTAGGGATGTGATAACTGTTAGTTCTTTTTATATGAGCTGGACTATTGAATACCACTAATGTTCTCATAGGCCTAAGTTTCCCACAGCTCCATTCTAGCATACTTGTGTAGTTCGCTATAGAGAGTTGTACTGGTACCTGAACTGTAAGTTGCATTAGTATGAGACATCACTATTCAATAACATCATTAAAAACACATATATTTTAATTTTTTATGAATTACATTGTTCAAAATGAGGTTCCTGTCTCCATAAATCGGTATATTTCGCATTCATACTCACGAATTGCAGTACTCAGTTAAACTGTATAGTCTGTAACGGATAAAATAAGATATTTAGTGACTTCAAGCATATAAAGTAAAGAAGATCATTCCTGGCTTTCGGTGTGGGATGTTGCGTAGTGGCAGATGTATTAACTCAATATCTTCCTTGCAACTAATACTAGCTGTGACTCTCGAGAATATGGGTCTGTGAGTCACCCTCATCATCCATTCTCTAGCATAGGAGCTGGTGCTTCTTCAAAAATCTGGTGGGACCTCTTTGAGTTTTAAACTACCCCTTCGAAAGAGAAAATTCGGATAAAACACTGAAGGAATCCATAAACCCCTCCCCGTAATAGAAGCCCCCTTTAAAGGATCTATCCAGCAAAATCCGGCCAAAGTTTGCAAGGCCTAATAGAAGCCCCGGGGAGGGGCTTCTAATATGGGAGGGGGTTTACAGTATAGTGTCTATGCTGGTTATTATAACTTTTTTCTTTCTTCTGATGGTAGAGCGACACCCAGTCTAGCCTATCCTTGATTACACTACTAGCTATTCTATTGATAAAATTGAATAACAAACCTCTTGTGCCGTTGTAACAAATCTTGTAGTAATATTTGTCACTGCTATTTCTCCATTACTATTTTCAAATACGACATGTTTATCAACACTTTTTTGTGAACGAAAATCAATATTTTCTTTATTAAATAAATCATAAATATTTTCATTATAAATCTATTTCAGCAAAAAAACAATAATAACATTAACAATAAAAATTATTAAAATAAATTCTATTGATATTTACTTCAATAAATTGACATGAAACTACACATTTTGATAGATCAGTACCTTTTGATTCTGCTTCACGTTCATAACTTGCACATCTTTGAAATATATGCATAATGGCACGAGGTAACATACCTTCTTTCAAAGGATCCATATATTCAATTCCACTACCCATAGTAAAAGTTTTTCTACACAAAATAATAAAACAAAATCTTTTAAGAATTTTCTTTTATTATCAAATACCCCGAACCAGTTTGACCATAGGCAAGTATAGATGCACTATAACCTTGAAAACATCCTTCAATCATATCATAAATACATTCACGATAAATATCTTCTTGATTTGTTTCTGGTAAAAAAACATGATCAAATGTAAAAGCTGTACTATTAGCTAAAATAATTTCATTTGTTGTTCGTTGTACATCAACACATGTTTGACATAAATCTTGTTGTTCATTATTTGATAATGGACGAACACTGAGAGAAAAATATTTCTTCTTTTATTTTTATTCATTATACATATATTTATATTAGATTTTCTTACCGAACAGCAGCCTTAACACAACTGGCAATTTCTTTATTAGAATTTGCCAATTCCATTTTATTGGACACTGGAGTACATGGGCAAACACGCAGTAAGGAAAAAAAACTATTTTAAGAGACAAAGAACTTAGCCAGGACAAAGGATCTTGCTCGCGCTAGTTAGCATCATATGCTTTATCTCGAATTATGTATATTTTCTTAAATAGAATTCTGTATTAGTAATAAAAATTTCTAAAAATTTTTTATTAAAATACTTTTTTTTTTTGAGTTCATAATAGATGTCGCTATTTGTATAAAACATTTTATATTGATATTTTATTTGAAAAAAGTTTTTGTACTTATTTTAATATTAAAAAATATATAATTTAATGAAAAAAACATTTTTTTCAATAATATCATTCATAGGTTAATCTATATTACCAATAAACTGATCAATGAGAACAAAAAAAAAATGACGCGAGGAGGAACAGAATTAGTTAGTCTTTTTTTTTCCTTCCTTTGATTACATTTTTGTTGAGAAATAGTAGCACAACAGTGCAATTTACATGATCATATCTTATAGATAGAATAATTTATTAAAAACAAACAATATTTTCTATAAACATCTATCATGGACAGTGACCAAGAGTCATCTGAAGTAAAACAAACAAAAATTGATTTTCTATATATCTTTATTAAACACACGTCGTTGCCGTATTTTTTTTGTTACAGTGTCCGTTGTGTTTGGAAGTACTCGAAGCTGATGATTTGACCTTTTTTCCATGTACATGTTGTTATCAGGTAAAAAACAACTTCATAAAGAAATGATTAATGAATGAATTCTCATGTTTTTAGATTTGTCGATTTTGTTGGCATCGTATACGAACCGATGAAAATGGTTTATGTCCAGCATGTCGAAAAGTAAGATAAACTATTATGAGTCATATTTGAGAAAGAACGAGAAAAAAAAAAAAAGAAATAGATTTTGATTAATGATAAGTACAAAAATAAAATATGTGGAAGCACATTTTTATGCATTTATGGAACGATTTGATTTGGCGCCGACCTTTATTTAAACATATTCAAAAGTCTTGTTAGATTGAAAAATATATTAAGACATTAATCTTTTTCGATGATATGCTGTTTAATAATGACATGCATCGGTACAAAGACTTTCTTTGTTTACTCATAATAAAAAGAGCATAGTCCAATTTTAACTTGATTGAATGCTAGTAGAGTATTTAATTTATTATGTTATGTTTTAATGAGCTTAGATTCAATGAACTCAACGTAGAATTATTGTTTAGAGTTATGGTGCGATGAAATCATCAACAGTTTCAATTCTTTAGAAATAATCATTGATTTCTGTTTTGTAAATCTTTCTTTATACAAACAAAATCGAACGTGTTGCAAAATAAAAGTATTTTCAGCTGTGAGAAAAAAATTTGAATTTTATCCAATCAAAACAAAAAGTTTATGTCGTAGCATTTTGTTTGCGATCGGTAGATTATTATGGTTTTATTAATTTAGAAAAAAAAACAATTTTTTTGTATATAATATGTTCTCATGAAAAAGTGAAGCTGTACATAAATATTTTATGCATAAAGAAAAATCGTAGAAATTATTTATTTTTTTTTTTTTTCTTTGTTTTTTAGCCGTACAGTGAAAATCCGGCCCAATTTAAACCATTAACTGAAGAAGAGTAAATTTCAATTTATTTTTCTTTGTTTTTTTTTTTATGATTATTGTTATTATTATTCTAGAATTCAACAAGTGAAACGTGATAGAAAATTAAAAGATTCAAATAAAAAACCAAAGATCACCGAAAGTCGAAAACATTTAGCCAATCTTCGGTACAAAAGCATTTCTTTATTTTTATTGTTTTTTTTCCTACGGAAAATTTATTTTTTTTCTAGAGTTGTTCAACGTAATCTTGTATTTGTTAATGGTCTTCCATCACGTTTAGCTGATACTGAATTATTAAGACGAAATGATCATTTTGGTAAATATGGTAAAATAGTTAAATTAGTAACATCACCAGCACACAATGGACAATTAAATTCTATTTGTGTATATATAACATATTCACGTTCAGACGAAGCTTTACGAGCTATACAATCTCTATGTAATTATCATGTTGATGGTCGAACATTGAAAGCAACATTAGGTACAACAAAATATTGTAGTCGATATTTAAAAGGTGCATCCTGTCAAAAAGCTGATTGTCTTTATTTACATGAACTAGGCGATCCATTAGCAAGTTTTACTAAAGAACAAATGCAACAAGGGTAAATAAAGTTATGATAAAAATTAATATCTAAAAAGCTGTTAGTGCAATTCCTGTGGGATTAAAATATAACACACGATATAGATCCTGTTGCTGCTAATTACAGGGAGATTGCTTTATTCTATCTATCTTGGGACACATTTCTTCGTCATACTTTTACTTTATTTTCCAAATATGCAATAAGTGAGTAAGGTAATGAAAAAAAAAAGTTTAACAACAACGTATTTTTGTGTCTATAATTTTAAGCAATAACTCAAATACGAATAGGAATTTTAATAGGCAATGGAGTTTACTTTCACGAAGATTTCTAAAACACCGGATGCCGTAGTTTTTACGTCCCGGAAGACTATTTTCTAATAATCCTACTTTAAAGGGAATAAAATGAAGGTTCATCCCATTTTCTATGACCTCCAGTTGTAAAGTTGCAAAAACCGAAAAAAGACGCTCTTTTTACAGTTTTTGTGATATTTTTAAGGGAAAGTCGTAGAGTATGCGACAACCTCTAATTTTGTGCAGAATATGGTGTTCTTTAATATCGCATTATTTACTAGTTTATCTCAGCAGAAAGTGTTGTCATCCTAGTAGTGCTAGAAGTGATAAAGAAGGCAGACAACGAAAAGCACTAGGGCATGCTCCAGCAATCCTATTCACCTTCCAATGATATTATTTGTTTATATTTATTTTACTTTCCGCCAGAGAAAGACAAATGGTCATTCAAAATTTGATTGCTGCTCAAAGTTACCACGAAGTCGTAAAAAATTAGCAAAAAGTTTTGAGGAACCTTAGTGTGGAATCTGTTAGGAGCTTGGGTTGTGTTTCACAGAAAAGAAAATTTGTTCTTATTTTGTTTAGTCTTCATCTTGAATATGAGCGAAAACTAATGGAACAGTACACGAATAAAACAATATCAGATACACCAAAAACTGGACGAACAACAGCTAATGGGTAAAATTTTTGTTTATTATTTTTTTTTGTTTATTAAAAATAATTTTTTCTGATTGATATAGAAACAAAAGTGAATCATCACAAAAACGAAAAGGACCAACACCACTATTAACAACGAATGATTCAAATACAACAATGCCAACATCAAATATTCTCAATGGCCATTCAGATTTAGAATCTGGTGATGAAACAAATAATAATAATAATAATACAACTACATCAAATCATCATGCATTAAATGGATATCATAATGATACATTTACTAGGTAAATAGTCAACATACGGTTTTTAAAAATGAGATTGAAGTTCTTCGCAAAAGAAAACAAAGTAGTAGTGATCGAAGTTAAATTAGATTATTTTTAAATTGGATGCAAATATTGGAAAGAAAAAGAAACACGTTCTCAAAGACTTTCAATCATTACGATTTATAATAATCAAATCTATTGAACTACACAATAAAGTCAAAATAAAAAGAAACAACGGTGGTAAGGTTGAAAATGGAATCAATAAATAAATAATATATTCGAAATAGTTATTAGAATTTCTTCTACTTTTGTTAGAATAACAGAATATTTCTTTCATAGATACTTGATGATAGAGACTGTTATCTGATACTATTTTAATTTGGATTTTACAATTAATTTTATATACTTAAAAGATGGCATCTTCTCTTTTTGTTTTGTTTTTCTCAATAGTACAACTGCTATTAATGGTGATACTTTAAATGGTGATTCTGATATATCATCAACATCATCTCAAACATCATCTGAACATGATTCATCTCTTCGAACACAAATTCCAACATATATTTCACCATCAACAAATTGGCCAGATGAATCAGGAAGTTTTTATCCTACGAATAATAATAATAATAATAATAATCTCGCATCGTCATCTCAGTTAATAAATAAACCATCTGTATCAAATGTATTAAATCCATTGAGAGATATTCAATCAAATGAAACAACAATTAATAATACAGTGAAAGTTTATGATCAATTACCAGAATATAAATTATTTAGTTCAAATAGTCCATCTATACATTCGATATTATTTGGTAAAAATGAAAATACTCAACAGCCTCAACGACCAATAATAAATGGAATTGATCATGATTTAAGAGAAATTGAAAAAAGATTAATAGGTAATATAATATGTTTAAAGATATTTTCTTTCAATATATAGCATAATACTGAAAAAGAACAATGATCTACATTTTCTCTAATACCTAGCCGTTTATATCTCTTAGAGTATCCAAAATGAGAAAATCAAAATTTTTTCGATTTTTAATATAACTTTGAAGTGTTCTCCTGTGAAATGCCATATAAACGAAGGCTCTTCTTTCTTAGTTAGTGCTTTTATTCTATGTGTGCGAAATTCTCCTCATTAAAATGAAACATGTTCATCAATTCTTTGAATAAAAAAGAGTATTAAAAAAACGTTCGATAAAAAGATTCAATCAATGATGATGTTCGGTTTCTTTGTACTGACTATCGATTCCCGGCAGAACCTCCTCAGATGCACCTCTTCCGATTTCTATGGTCTTTTTTGCCTATAGATACTACACAAAGCTCTAATAAAAACTGAACTCAAATTTTTGAATTTTGATCTAAAATTTCTTTTACATATTATACGAAACAAATATTGTCGAAATTTAATTATTATAATATAAGTTGAAGAATAATTAACTATCATAAAAAAATGTAATGCATTTTTTTTACTATTACATCATATAGAGAGAAAATTTCTTTATATTTCTCATAATGAATTAAAATACTTCTGTTACTACTTTTATTATACCGTAAGAACATTATTTTCATAAAGTTATTCTTTCTTTTTAGCAAGTAGTCTTGATAATACATCTTACTCACAAACACAAGAAAATGATGAACTAGGTAAATAAGGCTTTTATTTTTAATTGAAAAATATTTATTTCGAATTTTGTTTAAGGTTTCGATCCATGTAGTTTATTTATGTCAGCACTTGCATCTGATATTGAAGACGAACGACGACCATTATCATCACAAACATCTCTATCATATCGTCCAACATCAAATTCATATGGATTTTCATCAAATCAATTTATTTCAACAACAAATAATCCATCTATAGGACAAATCAATTCATCTTGGATGATGCAACAACAACAACAACAACAACAACAACCACAGCAACAACAGTATCATCATTATCAAGAACAACCAACAACACCACAAAGACAACAAAGATATCCACTTCCATTTAGTAAATATTTATTTTCTTTCTGATAATTTGTAAAAATTTCTTGACTCTGTATATTAATCGGGTCAATGACAATAATCAATAATTAAGTATTTTTCTCATACTAAATTAAACTTTATAAATGTATATCACATTACAAAACTATTCTCTTTTCGATTATCAAAATTCTCAATTAGATCTTTTCTTGATTATAAAGAAGATAAGATATATATTCAATTTTAGACGGATCATCTCCTCGACAAATTTGGAATGGCAATCAACAACAACAACAACAACAATATGGATCACAGATATCAAATCGTTTAGATTTTTCAAATCAAATTCAACAACAACAACAACAACAACAACAGCAACAAAGACTTCCACATAGACAACCATCACCATCATCACAATATTCTCAAGCAATAAATAATACTTATTCTTCTAATAGTACAGTGACCACAAGTAATTGTAAGATAAAAAAATATTTATATATTCTTTCATGAAACATGATCTAAAAGTAGTTTCGAAATATCGAGGTAAAAGATTTTGACTTTCCATAGGTCGTGGCAAATGTTAGCCCAAGATCATCATAGACCATGAGAGATACCTTACCAAAGTCCAACTTCTCCTTAACAGACCTATTAACATACGTTCCAAGGCCATACATGAATAACGTCTCGTTATAATATATCAACTACTTCCTAATTGCATTTCTTGCGGATTAAGTAATGTATCACAGAACAGATAGAATAAAGTAATTTTTCTGTGCTTAGTAACAGCAGCTAAATCATGTTTCATATTTAAGTTACGCAGGAATTATCCTAACAACTGTTGTTTTTTAAATATTAGTACCATCAAATGATCGATGGATAAATTTGCCATGGACCGATCCAGCTATCATATCACTTGGTAATAAGCTTGATACAACACCCACACAATGGTCGACGACTATGCAATCCCAGGGGTCTTCTGCATTGTCCTCAGGTAATAATCTCATGGCAAATTCTCGTTGGTCACAGCAACAACAACAACAACAACAACAACAATCACAAACACATATGCTAACAAATGGAATGTATATGCCATATTCAACAACATCAGGTATCGATGATGGAAGTCGATCGTAAATTAAACAGTTGATCACATGCATATAAACAAAATAAAACAAAAAAAAAGAAGTCTTATTTTTTTTCTATCTATTCACTCCGTACCCGGCTGATGGCCTGTTCGTGTTTTTCTCTCTCTTGTACCCCATGATAATGATTTTTTTTTTGCTTGTTTGTTTTCTCTATCACTCGTTGTCGTTTATCATATATACATACACACAAATTATTTATATTGATAATTTATTCATAGTAGTACGGAGAAGAAAAAAAAGAATCAGAATGATATTTAGAACATATATGAGAATTATATATTCATACGACAATAAAACTAAAAAGCAAATCTTATATATGGATTGCATCAAAAGTTAAAAATAACAATTGATATTTTTTTCTTTTGTTTATTGTCATCAAATCTTTTTTCTTTGTTTTTTTTTTCATTTAGCAACTCTTTTGCTCGTTACGTTATCTTTTGTGAGTTTCTTTACTCTTGCTTGTTTTTCCTTTTTTTTTCGTATATGTGTCTCGATCGACTTCCAAAGAGATGAACACAAAATTATCGCATATATTCAAATAGATAAACAAAATAATATATGTCGATGAACAATATCAAAATTAAATTTTATCATATCAAAGTGATTTTATTTTTATATTAGAATTAGATTTAATGATATTCAGTTTTTAAAATTGAATGTGTCAAACATAGCATATTTCAGTGATCATCTAAAACGTTGAATAGTAGTAGCAAGAGAAAATAAGAGAATACTTTTGAATAGAAGAATTCGATTAATTTTAATGACTCATTAGAATTGTAAAAAATAGTTGCATGTGAAACGAATCTTTCGATCTCATATGTCATAGCATCGTTTTTGCTTTGTTTATAGGTAGATTAGAAAAAAGAAACGACCATCTAATAATAAGCAATATCTAAATATTTATTTTTATTATGTTTGACAAGTTAAGGATCAGCATGATAAATTTGTACAATCTTTCAAAGAGATATTTTTTTAGTAATCTATAGGTAAAACAAAAATCTCTTTAATAGATTATTTATTCAAGGTATTCTTTTAAAAATAATTCTACTGAGCTACTAAACTTTATTTAGGTTTATGTGGATTAATATTACCTTGTTTTCTCTTTCTATTGACGAAACCTATAGAGTGTCAAGAGATGTCGTTACCAATTTATACTTGACTATCTCTTAACATCTGGCACCGACATTAGTTTATTGCTTTTTCAAGATAACGACCTAAGCCTAGTGCTTTATAAACCACATTTGCGGCCTAAACATACCTTTGGCTAATGATTAAGTACGATTACGGATCCTCAAGTAAATCTTTCTATGCAATAGAAGAACTCCTTGAAGAAGCGATGTGTCGGACGTAATAAAAGACTTTTCTTAAAAATTGACGCTTTAATTAGTATATTTACATCAAAGGATGCCTAGTCTTTAGGGTTATGAGCTGAAAATCTTAAAAGATCGAGATCAGCATTATTTCTTGACTTTTAAAATCGTTAAAATATATCCCTAAATGTTCAAAATCGTTTTAGTTTTTTCAAAACTGCTTTTAATTAAAACTTATGGAAATAAATGAGACACAACAGCATAGTCAGGTTATTCTATTGCGGGAAGGTATTTACGATTATCGCAAATATGATCAGTTTTATTTCTTCTTGTCAATACATTTTTGCTGACTGAAGTCGTTAGACCAATCTTGATCATGAAGCCAGTAATCGGAACATCGGAAACTATCATTAGTTTTAGATGAATTATAATGATATAATTAAAAACAATTTGCGATGATGATTATCACAGTAGAACTTTTTGTTTGAAAATATAGAAGTATAAAAATCTAATAATCTTTTGGTATTCAAACTTATTTATTATTTATTATACAAATACGAAAACTAATATTAATTTATAATTGAAAGTGAAAAACATCAAAACAAGAAACAATACTCGAAAAAGGCGAACTATGAAATAACTCTAAAAGAAACAGAAAATTCATAAAAATCGTTCATAGAATAAAAGATAACAATTTTCTGTAATATAAGATGTTTGAAAAACATTTTCAATTTGATGTATTTCTGTTATACGTTCATCATCACATAAAAACCATCGCGAACTATCTGTACGATATAAACAAACATAATGTCCATCGTTCGAATTTGTTCGATCAATTGATAATGAAGAAAGATCTTTTGATAAATGTAAACATACTGCTACTAGTCGATAACGTGAAGGTATTGTTATCGATAAATTTGTTAATCCAAGCCATGCTGTATAATGAATATGTGATAAATCAAGAATTTTTTCAGGATCAATGAAAATATGTGTATTTAATTTTGTAGTAGTTCGTGAATAACGATCATAAGTAAAACGTTTTAATTGAATACATAGAATAGAGGGAAAATTCGCAATCATCGTTTGACATTTTATTCTACAATGATGACGAGTTTCTGTTGATGGAGTGATAGTAATAGGTGCTAGAAAATAATAAACAAAATGGAATTTTTTATTCACAGAATACTACATACTGGATATTGGCGTTGAGAATAACATTTGGCCAGATGGTTGAAGATGTGTGTTAACTAGAGGTGATGCAATAGGTCTAAATCAAAGAGAATCTAAATATTGTTTTGCTATTTGTTATCAGATAAAAAAACGCCATCTTCTCAATTATCAAGAAATTTAAAGATTCAAAATCACATGTCAGTCTTTGATTACGAATAAGTTTTGACAGGGATATGATGGAGAGCTGCAGCAGTCACTATTCGAAAGACATTGTATCATTGCATAGTTCCATGTATGATTTAACCATGTCAGCTGATGAATGAATTGTCAATCAGCGAACTTCAAAAGTTTAATGTATTAGATTCGCATGCTCACGATCAAAATTGATGCCATCGAATGTGGATCTAGTGTACTTCTTGGAAATAAACTTCTGCCTCATCTTCATAGAGCTATCAGTGTTTTTCTGAAGTCTACTGACTGAAAATTGAGTCATACATGGAACTATGTAGTGGTACAAGCTCTCTATCTTATTCCTATCTAAAGCTATCCCGCGTAATTAAAGACAGCTGGGTAAATTTTGGACCATCCTGCAGACTTATGACGAATAAAATTTTTATTGATCAAAGTGTTTCACAGAATACTGAATCAGCTAGCGCAAATTGTTTGACTGTTAAATTGACAGATGCCATTGTAATGACAAACTGGTCGATTTAAAACTCCGTTTTCGAGACGAACAAGCTAATGTCTTGAAATATTCTCTTCGATTCCAATGATTTTTTGTCTAAAAATACTACATAGTATTCTAATAAACACTGGCTCTTATTGAGAGTTAACTAAGCTGTCGAATTGTGATCTAAAACTTTGCACAAATAGAGTACTCAACTAGACTAACGTCCATAAAAACAAATTCACAAGTTTTTGAATAAAGTCTCATCGAAGTATGAGACTTTCAAGATGTAGATCTTTTTGCAATTAATAGTGTATATAATATGAGAGTTTCATATGTCGAAGAGACTTTGTTGAAAACTTCTAGATTCTTTTATCGAAATTAGTCTAGTTGAGTTCTCTATATGCGCGAAATTTCAGATGAAAATTTGAAAATATGAGTCTTCTGAAAATCTGACCCTTCACATACGAGAAATCCGATAGCTTAGTGGAACTCTTTTAGGATTTTTATTAGAAAACTGCAAGATCTACCGGGTGTCCCAAAAGTCCCTTCCACTTAAATTTTTTGTATATCTTTGCTATTTAATTTCACTTGATCAACTATTGTTTTTCTAAATGATAGGTAGATACACTGAGTTTTTATTTATAAAGACAAACTTCAGAAGTACTGCTCAAAGCTAAGACTTAGAATCGAAATACAAAAATGTAGCCTATTTTATATTCCCAGAAAAACATCACGCAAAATTCCTTTTCGGGTTATTAAGTGGCTCAGATATTTGAGTTCTTCAATTTTTGATGAATCTTTTCATAGAATTTTACTTTGGTATGTCTTCACATAAATGAACTGGATCTTGTCACGCCAATATTCCACCAATTGGAACAGATATCATGCATGAGTTTTTCTGGGAATATAAAATAGGCTACATTTTTGTATTTCGATTCTAAGTCTTAGCTTTGAGCAGTACTTCTGAAGTTTGTCTTTATAAATAAAAACCCAGTGTATCTACCTATCATTTAGAAAAACAATAGTTGATAAAGTGAAATTAAATAGCAAAGATATACAAAAAATTTAAGTGGAAGGGACTTTTGGGACACCCGGTATGAACAAATCGTATGTGTCTGAATATTTGACTTAAATTTTCGGAATCAGCTATTGATTAGTTTTTTACTATAGTCGATGACCATTTAAAGGTTGAATACCACAGACTTTTGTAGTATCTATTATCAGATTTCTTATGAGAAAAACAATTTCAGGTCTTCCGTATTATGGAGATAAAAATCAGCTCGATCCACTAAAGCAGAATAGAGATAGTGAATTTTCTTATCTTAAAGATATTTTTATTACACTCTGTTTATTGAACAAAGATCCAGAAATAATGTTCTGTCCGTGTATATCAGACTCATCTTATGTTGTATCTTCAACTAAGTTCACATTCCATCCTACACTATATTTTAATAAAGAAGTGCGTCATATCACTCACTTATTATTGAGAAGAATACAATCTATCAATATAAGCATATTTTTTAATTCTATCGATTCTCATCTTTGCTATCTTTGTAATTCTGTCACATAAAAGATAATAATTAAGGGTATTTTTATGTCATACAACATCTATCTCAGCTTTGTGACAACTCTGAAATTTTAATAGACCTGAACTCATTCGACTGATGAAACGGCTGAATCTGTTAAAAAAGAAACGTTTTGTTTCCACATAAACTATTTTAATGCTATCGTATTTGGCTAGTAATGCGTTCAATGTGTCTATTACATACTAGTACATAATACTTTAGTTAATGATGATGTACAATTACAAAACAACATTTCATTTTCTATTCATGATTTTAAATTGTTGTTCCAAAAGATTTGATATCTTGACTTTTGCGAAAATTTATTGATAATTTTGATATTTAAAACATTTTCTCTTCCTATTTTTTAATCTTTTACTTTTTATTTTATTTAGTGATGCTTCGTCAACGATGTTGACTTCATTATACTATTTAGTTATAAAATGACATCTAGAAGAAAATAACCAATGCATTTAATGTATTCGGTCTATGCTATTGATAGTGGAAAGAACGAAGAAAAATCTAACAGAAGAAATACATATCATTTTGTAGCTAAATAGTCTAATAAAGTCAGCATCATTGACGAAGCATCACTAAATAAAATAAAAAGTAAAAGATTAAAAAATAGGAAGAGAAAAATATTTTAAATATTAAAAAAAAAACTTGATATTGTTCAGCCATTTCGAAAAAAGCAGAGTTTAAGAGTAACATTAACTCTGAGTGATAGGTTTCTCGTTCTATTCAGCAAATATG